TTATATATATATATATATATTTAAATATATTTATTTGAATTTTTCGTCGAAAATCTCCCCGGACAGGCCCGACTTAAGCCTCGATCCTCCGTGCCAGACCCCCTCGGGGTCACGAGAACATCGCGACGGGCGGTTTTTGGCCATGTTCGGCCTCCCGGGGGCCCTTGCAGGGGCCTCGGAGGGGCCTCGGGGCCGTCCACGAGAACGACTCGGGACGAAGAACGGGCCCTGGGAATGGGTCGAGATCCTTGGGGGTCGACGTCGTGAGAAGCCACGACGTCGAGGCTCTGGGGCCATAGGTCCTCGATCCTCCAGCCTCGATCCTGGAGCGGTCCTGGAACCGCGAAGCGTCCTCGCCCCTCGGCCCTCGGACCGCGAAGGGCCCCGGCCGCGGGCCCGAGAGCATCCGCGCCCGCTGCTCCCTGAGGGCCCGGTGCCCTGGGATGTGGGCTCCCCGGGCGGTCTCGAGGCTCGATCCCTCGAACCTCGAACCTCGACCCTCGGTGCTCGGTCCTCGACCCTCGAACCTCGATCCCTCGATCCTCGAACCTCGGTGCTCGGTCCTCGACCCTCGAACCTCGATGCCAGAAGGATCTTAGGTCCACGGCCCTCGGTCCTCGGCCCTCGGCCTGCGACCCTCGCACCTCGACCCTCAAGCCTCGGGCCTCCATCCTGGAACATCGAGCCTCGACCCGCGATCGCCGAGCGGCGATCCTCGATCCCCGACGCCTCGCTCCTCAAAGGGCCGCCGATGAGGCCGCCGACTGGGCCGCCGATGGGGCCGCCGAGGGGCCGCCGATAGGGCCGCCGAGGGGCTGCCGAGGGGCTGCCGAGGGGCCGCAGCAGCAGCAGCAGCAGCAGCAGCAGCAGCAGCAGCAGCAGCAGCAGCAGCAGGAGGAGGAGGAGGAGGAGGAGGAGGAGGAGCAGGAGGAGGAGGAGGAGGAGGAGGAGGAGGAGGAGGAGGAGGAGGAGGAGGAGGAGGAGGAGGGGGGCCACGGGCGAGGCGGCGCGCCCCTGTAGCGCCGCGTGGGCGGACATGCCCAGCTGCGACGCGGAGTGCGTGCTGCTGGCCGGGCTGCTGCGGCGTGCCCCGCCGCGGAGTGGGGCCTGCGCGCGGAGGGATGCCCAGGACCCCAGGACCAAGGGCGCCCTCGAGGGCGCGCAGTTGTTCGCGCTTCGCGCTTCGCGCTTCGCGGTCCGGCTCCGATGCCTCCTCAGCCTCCTCTTCTCCCCTGGGAGGCGGCGCGAGAGCGCGAAGTTGTTCGCACTTCGCGCTTCGCGCAGCGCGAAGCGCGAAGTTGGGAGCCCTTGAGGGCCCCGCTGCCGCCGCTGCTGTCGTGGCCGTCGTGGCCGCCGTGGCCGTAGTAGGCGGCATGGGCGGCAGCAGCGGCGGCGTCGTGGGCGGCGGCGTCGGCGTTGTCGTGGGCGGCGTCGTCGTCGGCGTCGGCGTCGGCGTCGGCGTCGGCGTCGGCGTCGGCGTCGGCGTCGGCGGCGGCCTCGGCTTCGGCTTCGGCTTCGGCGTCGTCGGCGGCGGCGTCGAGATGGACCTGGAGAATCGAGACGGACCCAGAGGGCCGAGTTCTTTTTGGCTGCTTCTCTTGCCCTGCCTGCGCCTCCGGAGGCCTTCGGCGATCCTCGCCGCTGCTTCGCCAGGCCTCCACGGATGGGGCCGGAGCGCACAGTGCCGTTTTTAATACCTGCTCCGCGTGCGGATCATGTATGAAACATGCAAGGATGTAGTATTAAAAACAACCAGGAGCTCATGCACAAATGTATTCGTAGATTAACCCTATACTGTTTTAGAAATCTCATATTTTTAGAAATCCTATACTTTTAGAAATCCTATACTTTCGTAGATAAATGCATTCGTAGATTAACCATGTATTAAAACATCCGATATTTTTTTAAACATCCTATGTATTAAAGCCTGCCCTGCATGGGGGCGGAGGATCGCGCCGCAGTCTCGGACTCCTCAGCGCTGCGGCGCGACCCGGAGCCCGCTTTTCTCTCCCTCCCGGCGCCGCCGATATGCACCGCCGACGCGGCGCGCGGCCCTCCGACCTCGCCCGAGAGCGACGCGCAAAAAAGGGGTCGACTTCGACGACATTCGCGCGTAAGCCGCCGGTGCGGCGCGCGGCCCTCCGACCTCGCCCGAGCGGCGCGCCAAGAAAACGGGGTCGACTTCGACGGCGTTCGCGCGTAGGCTGCCCGCGTGCACGCCGGTCGTTGAAAGCAGGTGTTTTTGGATGCCCAGATCCCATATCTGCTTCAAGCGCCTCCCTACTTCAGGAATCGACACGCTTTTGCTGTGTCTTGTTATTCTCTGGGGGGCCCTGGACCCAATCAACTTAATCCGCCTTCCTACTTCATGTTCTTACCTACTTCTTCCGACCGACGTGTAAGGTCGCGCGGACGCGCCTTCGTCTTCAATGCGGCGTGCCGCGCTGGTGGCCCGCAGAAGCCAAGGTCGCTATGTCATCTCGCGAAAGACCCGTCACCGGAGGCCACCGCGAGGCCTCTCGGAGGGCATCTCGACAGGCCTCCGAGGCGCGTGGAGGGCGAGAGTGCCTCCGGAGGGCATCCGAGTCGAAAGGGCCATCGAGGGCCCTCTCGAAGGCCCTCTCCCAGGCCCTCCGGGAGGACCTCCGAGAGGCCTCTTCTTTCCTAGGAGGAAAGAACCGCAATGAACATAAACTTTTGGCGCTCCGCGCGGATTTCTTGGATCCGCGCTGGGCCCCTGAAAGTTTATGTTTATGCCGTTTTTTCTTCTACTCGAGGCGCGACCCCAGTCCTTCCCGACCCCTTCACTGGGGAATCGTTCTTCGTCCTTTTTGACTGCCCTGGGGTCCGATCGCGGGCCCCCCACACCGACGTCGAGGAACACCGCCAGGATTGAGACAGCCATATCGTCGGAGGTCCTCGACGTGAGCGAAGTGGCTACGTGAGCATGGGGGCAAAGGGGATGGCCCTCGCTGCTGGTGTCGCCGCGGTCGCCTGCCCAACAGCGGCCGCTCTCGACTTTGGACAACGCTTGCTGTTGGGCGTCGTAGCCATTTTTTCCATGTCTATTTCGGGCGTGCCAAGATCCGGGTTGCTCGAGCAATAGTCGCGAAAGATCGGACGTTGCGAGAAGTTGCAATATCGCGAAGGATCACGCCCAGAATCCTAGACTCCACCCCTCTGCATCGTTTTCCGAGCCTGGTCGATCTGTGCGGGTCCTGGGCCCGGAACCGGGTGAAAACGCCCAAACTGCAACGCCCAGATCTGACCGGCACCACCGAGCCACGCGAGGCCGATGCGCACGCTCGGGACCCTTGTAGTACAACTGAGCTCCGTGGTGGGCGCTCTGCTTTCTGGCCAATCCGCTCGGGAGACGATGTACGGTGTATGAGGTTGGTCTACGCCTCGCTGTCGGACGTGCGCCTTCCACATCGGCGCATCGCACTTGGTGCGTCCTGCAGCGCCCCATGAGGCCCCCCCCCGAATCGGACGTGCGCCCCGCGCTCGCGGTGGGCCTCACCTGTTCTCGATCGTGGCTCTCACAGTCAATAGCTCTTTGGCGCAGAAGGAGGCTGAGCAGGCCCCAAGGCTGATGCCCCGTACGCAGCCGCCAGGCTTCTGAGACGGAGCACACATCCAGCTGGTCCTCTCTCGCCCATTCTTTCATGGCCTTTCCGGGGAGGACGGGCGCATCGCACTTGGATCGGTTGGGCTCAAGAGCGACCTCGCGCCGGAGTGACCTTTGGTGCGGGTCCGAAAGGGCCCCCCGATCGCCGAACGCGATGCGGCCGTAGCGTCTTGCGCGCTCTTGTTTGGCCGCCCCGCGTTCCCCGTCAAGCCGCGCACCGAAGGCCACTCTTGCCCAGGGCCACTCTTGCGTGCAGCCGATGGGGGTGCCCTTCAGCGCCCCGTGCGGGCCACTCCCGAGAGTGGAGACCTCCCAAATGGGGGTCGGAGGATCGCGCCGCCGCATCGCCGATATCATCGCCGATGCAGCGGCGAGGCCTCGGCGACGTCGGCGTGGAGCCACTCGGGCCCCACATCGAGCCGCACCGCCCCTGCATCGGCGACGCGGCGCCATCCTCTGGCCCCACCTGCTCGGAGCCCCTCTTTGGGAGCCCCGGAGCGAGGACCGGCGCCCCGCGCTCGCGGTGGACCTCGTCATCGCCTCGCGGGGCGCCGCGGGCCTGCTCCGCGGCGCCGCGGGGCGCAGCAGCCTGCGGCTCGCCGGGCCCTGGGAGCCCGGCGCGCGCCCGGGGCCGCCGGGGCCGCGGTGCTGCCCGGCCGCGCCGTGGCTGTGGCTCGCCGCCTGCGCCGCGCCCGTGGTGCTGCTGCGGGAGCGCGAGCACGCGCACGCGAGGCGGGAGGGGGGCCCTCCCGGACCCCCGGAGGTGCCGCCCTGTGGCCCCCGGGGACGTCGCGGGCGGCGGAAGGCGGCGGAGGGCGGCAGGGCGGCGGCAGGGCGGCGGCAGGGCGGCGGAGCCGCCACACGGGGGCGGCTCCGCGGGCGGAAGCCGGCGGAAGCAAGCATCGGCCTCCCAAGATCGGGACGATCGGAGCGGGGGCGAGAGGAGGACGGGTCTGCGGTCGGTGCCGCCGCGGGCCGGGCTCCTTCGAGACTGAGAGGTCGCTTGCCCGACAGCGACCGCCGTCGGTTTTGGACCACATTGTCTGTTGGGCATCCTGCCCAACGTTTCCGCACCCACTTCGGGCGTCCAGACAAGAGACCGGAGATGACCAGTTTCTTGGATTTTTCGGATTCCGGGTTTCCGCAGCGGCCCCTGCACGATGCGTCTCGTGCCGCACGGGCAGCGCAGCGTGCTCCAGAGTCCACGGCCTCGCCCGCCCGGTCTCGGCCTGGCCCAGGCGCCTGTCCGCCGCGGCGGCCGTTGGGTCGCCCGTTTGCTCTGCTCCTCACCGCCCACCAAACCACCACAACCCAACCCGAAGGCCACGATCTGCCCTTCATTTCCAGATGTGTGTGTGTGTGTGTGTGTGTGTGTGTGTGTGTGTGTGTGTGTCGGGGAACCCGTACCCCCCAACCCGAAATTCGTGTGGAACCGAACCCGAACCCGAATTTCGTTTGGAACCGAGCCTGAAAAACACGTGGAACCCGTACCCCCCCCAACCCGAAATTCGGGTCTTCGGGTTAGGTTGGGGTTGTCTGCTAGGTAGCCAGCTCCCCCTCGTCCTCCTTGTCTTGCCCTGAGTAGATGGGGCCTGAGGATCGTGCTACAACGCCGACACATCGCCGATGCGGCGCGATATGGAGCCCGATTTGCTTCACGTCGACGTGGCCGATGCATCGCTGACGTCGCCGATGCATCGCCAGGGGCATTGTCGGCCAAAAAACAAACGACACCACCCCACCTATGGCCCTCCATGTTGCGCTACGGCCCATTGGGGGCCGTAGCGTATACCATGCAAAAGCCCACGCCAGATGTCCTGGTATACGCTATGGCCCGTGGGGCCGAAGGTGGGGTGGTGCTGTTTGTTCCCTACATCCTGAGTGGGGTTGTTGTTTTCCCAGAACGCCCTCTCCTTCTCCTCCTCCTCCTCCTCCTCCTCCTCCTCCTCCTCCTCTCGCGTCCTTCTCCTAAACCATACCATGCGATACCATTCCGCACATCACCATACCATACCAAGCCATACCATACCAATACCATACCATACCAATACCATACCAAGCCATACCAAACCATACCATACCAATACCATACCATACCAATACCATACCATACCAAGCCCTACCATACCAATACCATAGCATACCAATACCATACCAAACCATACCAAACCATACCATACCAATACAAAACCATACCAATACCATACCAAACCATACCATACCATACCAATACCATAGCAATACCATGCAACACCTGTTATGTATCAGGTTTCGTCTGAGCTCAGCGGCAAGGGCGGCGGGGGCAGCGCCGGGAAGAGCGAGGCGGGCGGCAAGGGCGGCGCCGTGGCGGCGCCGGAGCCGACGCACGCCGAGGCTGGCGACGACGACGACTACGACGACGACGACGACGACGGCGACGACGACGGCGACCGCGTTGCACGAGGCGCCCGTCGTGCACCACGGCAAGGTCGTCACTTTCTCGGCGGAGATGTCCGCCCCCGTCCTCGGCATTTTTGTTGACGAGGGCGCGGGCGCGGAGTGCATGGGCGGGTCTGGCTACATCCAGAACGAGGACCCTGAACGACGACGACGACGACGAAGACGACGACGACGACGACGGCAACGACGACGACGACAAAGACGATGAGCGAGGACGCTGGGCAGCGGCTCGTGCGCTTCCGGTGCCGCTGGCCGACGCGCTTCGCCATCGGCGAGCGCGTCGTGTGCCAGCTGATGCGCAACATGCGCGGGGACGTCATCGCGAACCGCGTGGAGTCCTGCTGGTACGAGAACGAGCGCGAGGAGATGGGGAAGGGGAAGGGCAAGTGAGCGCGCGTTCGGTTCGGTAAAGGGCGGTTGCGGCGGCGGTGGGCTCGTTTTTCGCGCATGTGAAAGAGCGAGGAGGGCGGTGGGGGGGAACGAGGAGAACGAGGGATTTCAGCGCGAGGGGACGATGCAGCTTCGTTGGTTTCTGACCGTCTGCGATCGCGAGTGGGCGATGTTTTCTAGTGTCGATTTTTGATCAGAAAAGACGTTCTCGGGCGTCGCGGCGGTCGTCGCTACGGTGCCAATACCGTGCCAATACCGTGCCGATACCATGCGCCCCTCCCGCCCCTCCAGGGGGACCCCGCCTGAGCGAGGACGCTATTCGAAAACAATGTTATTTATAAGGTTTCGTGCCCCTCCCACCCCTCCAGGGAGGCCCCGCCAGAGCAGGGGCGCTATTCGAAAACGGTGTTATTTAGCAGGTTTCGCGCCCCTCCCGCCCCTCCAGGGAGGCCCCGCCGGAGCGAGGGCGCTATTCGAAAACCGTGTTATTTATCAGGTTTCGTGCCCCTCCCGCCCCTCCATGGAGGCCCCGCCTGAGCGAGGGGGGTGTTCGCAAACCATGTGATAGAAAAGGATGGAGAGGGCGAGGGCAGGTCGGCAATTTCATGACAAAATGATCCTTGATTCCGCTATCCCAATAACATCATTATGTGGGGGGACTCCGTTAGCATAATTTTCTGGTCCTTGCCGATGCATCGCCGATGCGTCGCCGATTCATCGGCGATGCGGCGCGAGCCTCCGACCCCGTCTGCTCCCGACCCCATTTGGGGGGCCTCTGGCCTCAGGGCGGGCTGGGGCCCGAGCCCTCGCCTCTGTGCCTGCAGAGGCTGGAAGCCGAGTGGAGTTCCTTTTTGCAAAGGCCCCTCGGGGGCCAGCTTTGTGTCGCGAGGAGCTGACCATCGAGCTCCGTCCCCTGACCGCGAGCACGATTGCGCGAGGCGGGAGGGCCCCTTCCAGACCCCCTCGAGTCATGACAAGAATCACGACGGTAGGTTTTTCGCTATTTTCGGGCCGCGGCGCCGCCCCAAAACGGCTCAGGATGAGGAGCCGGTCCTGGGGGAGGAGGAGGAGGAGGAGATAGGGAAGGAGGAGGAGGAGGAGGAGGAGGAGGAGGAGGAGGAGGGGAGGAGGAGGAGGAGGAGGAGGAGGAGGAGGAGGAGGAGGAGGAGGAGGAGGAGGAGGAGGAGGAGGAGGAAGAGGAGGAGGAGGAGGACGAGGAGGAGGATCGAGACCTATGGGGTCGACGCTACGAACAACATCGCACGCTGCGAAAAACAGAATCGTGACGTCGGGGGTCTGGACCCCTTTCCCCAGAGAGTCGTGCTGTGGCCCCCTCCTCCTCCTCCTCCCTCCTCCTCCTCCTCCTCCTTCCTTCCTCGTCCTCCTTCCTCCTCCTCCTACCTCCTCCTCCTCTCCTCTCCTCCCCCTTCCTCCCCACCTCCTCCTCCTCCCTCCTCCTCCTCCTCCTCCTCCTCGTTCTCCTCCTCTCCTCCCTCCTCCCCTCCTCCTCCTCCTCCTCCTCCTCCTCCTCCTCCTCCTCCTCCACCTCTCCCGGGCGCCGTCCCGGAGGGGTCGTGGGCGGAGATCGGCGGGGCCGGCTCGGATCTGGGCGGGCTCGGGTCGCGGGCCGCGCGAGGGGGGCCGCCCTCAGCAGGGCAGAGGGGGCTGCCTCCAGGAGGCCTTCCCGGCCTCCTGGAAGCAGCCCCCGGCGCCTCCTGACAGGCCCCCGGGCCGCAGCCGCCCCGCGACGGGGGCTTCTCAGGGAGTCGTCCTGGGCAGGCCTGGGGTCGGCCGGCGATCTTGGCCCTGCCCCCAGATCCCGGCGGTGGAGTTTGTCCGCAGCAGGCGTCTTCGCCCGGCCTCGGGCCCCCGGGCCCTCACAGATCGATCCGGCTCGCAAAACGACGCGGAAGGATTGGGTCTCGGGCTTTGGTCGTGATCTTCCGCGATGTTGCCACTTTTTCGCGACGTCGGATCTCGGGGTCCGTCTCCCCACTCGCACGGACCAGTCCTGGGCCAGCCGCTGCCGCCGCCGCTGCTTGACCGTCCCCGGAGCGCTCTTCCCCGTCACCATATCGTCAATGAGGTGATGTGACAGTGAACCGTGGCGTGTGGCATGCCATACTGCCCCCCCGTTGAGCATGGTAGTCGTTGAAAGGCAGCATCGTGTGTGCGCAGTTCTGGCCCCTCCCGCCTGCTCTCTGGAGGGCCGCACCTCGGTGCGGGAACGGCGGTGTCGTCTCGCCTCGTCGTCTCGTCGTCCCGTCGTCGAGGCAAGAGGGCTTCCCCGGCGCCCTGAGCCCGCAGCATCCGCTGAAGGCGCTCACCTTTGCGGAGCGCGCCGCGCTGCTTGCCGACAGGGGCGCCCTGGAGGCCGCAGGCGGGTTCCAGCTGCTGTAGCTCGCCGTCGAGAGAGTGACGAATCGGACACCGCTCCTGGGAGCGACGGTGCAGTACAGTCTTCGTCCTCCTCAAGGGGCGGCCTGACCACCGCCCAGCAAACCATCCGGTTCCGTGAAGCCTCCTTCTCCTCGCCCCAGGAGTCTTGGGGCGAGGACGCACTCATGCGCCCCTCCAGCCGTATACCTACGTCTTGGGCCAAGACGTCTGTGTGCGGCCGTAGGGGCGTTTCAATGGCGAGGGTGACGTCACCGAAGGGGATGGCTTGCTAGGGGTCGCTTAGGCCGCGCCCGACATCTTCCTGCTTACAGGTCATCCCGGCGCAGCGCGTGGCGAGAAAACCTATAGCCATTACCGTCGTCGTCGTCGTCGTCGTCGTCGTCGTCGTCGTCGTCGTCGTCGCTGGGTGCTCCCTGCGCCGGCTGTCCGTCGTTCTGCGCCCTCGCGGCGCCGACCTGGCAGCGAGCCTCGGGGCTCTGCGCGACTTTTGTGCAGGCGTGCGCGCCGCGGGTTCCTCTTCGGTGCCCAGCTGGCGCATGATGCTCGAGAGTCGAGGGAGAAAAAGCGGCATAAGCATGTGATATACCTTCGAAGGTCCGCGCGCCTTTCTTGGATCCGCGGTGGACCCCCTGGCAGCGCCCTGGCGCCACCGCAGGCGCGCTCCGCAGATCCAAGACATTCGCGCGGACCTCCGAAGATGTACATCTGTTTGTGCAGATCCTTATTACTGTGAGGAAGCACCCATCGGAACATCATCGGTCTGTCTCGCAGGTTGCGCACGCGAGACAGCAGGGCTTTTCTGGACGCGGCAGACTGCCGGCACACACGTCCAATAATTTACCAGCCTGGAACATATCTTTATCCCAATGTTCGGCATCGCCTCATCACGATGGCGATCTTAGGGATTCCCGCAGTTTCTGAGGGTGCATCCCTAAGATTGTCATCGCCTTTTGGCGTGTCAATCTCAGGGATAGGGATACGTTCGAGGCTGGTGAATAATTGAAGAACATATAGCGCACAAACATTTTTTCTTGGAGGTCCGGCGGATTTTTTGGATCGGCGCCCAGGCCCCCCTGGCGGCGCTCAGCGCCGACCGAGAGAGCCGCGCGGACTTCCGAGGAATCGAGCTCACGCCGTTTCTCGATCCTCTCAAGGAGTATCGGGCCAGCTCCGCGGGGAGTGCTGGCCGGAGGCGCTTGATGTTTTGACGGAGTCGGCCAGGTGGTGATGATGGGTGACCTACTTTTACGCCGGGCCTGTCCCCCTACAGGGGGATTCTCGGCGAAAAAAAAAAATACCCCAACAATAGTCAAAAAATAATCCAAAAATAGTCTGGGGACTATTTTTTGTATTTTTTGACCTTCTAGGGGTATTTTTGGGGTATTTTTTAGTTTTCGTCGAAAATCCCCTGTCGGGGGACACGCCCGACATAGACCTCCTTGGGGGGTGGAAGAAGAGGGCCCTAAAAGGGGCCCTTTGGGCCCCTTCGGGGGCCCCTGCTGGCTCCAGAAGGTACCCCGAAGGGCCCCATTGAGGGAACTGCTCTTCACCCCCCCCACTTATAGGGTGCCTCATGCGAGCCCTGCCCTTGCCCCCCGCGATTTCTGAGGGGAGGGTGGGGTTCACTTCGCTCGGGAGCTCCCGAACGAAGTGAACCCCACCCCGCCCCTCAGAAATCGTGGGGGGTAGGGGCAGGGTTCACATGTGGCCCTGCACTTAGGTCACCCCCCATGACCACCCGCCCGCACTGAAGCGGCGTTTCGCTCCCCTCCCCCGCGGGTTTTCTCGCCAGCACGTGTGCGAGCAGGGCAGCTTGAAGACCCCCTGCGCCCTGGGCAGCTGCCCACCCTGCTCGGCAGACTTTGCCTCGCACCACGCGGGCCACTCGGAACGGGTTGCCAATCGGTTTTGGGGATGCCCCCTCCTCCTCCTCCTCCTCCTCCTCCTCCTCCTCCTCCTCCTCCTCCGGAAAAGATACCGATCCCGCTACCCTTCGCCCGTTTTCCATTTTTTTCGGCCTCATGGGAGGTCCTCGCCGCCACCGCTGGACTCGCCTCGAAACTTTGGTCAGAACGCACGCTGGGAGAGGTCTGGGGAGTAGCGGTATCGGTCCCCTCCCTCCCTCGTGGCCTGACGAGGATTGCCGGCATGAGTATCCAACGGTGCCATTGCTGCTTTTGGAAGGCCTGATCGCTCTTCGGAGCGGCGCATAGGAACTCACATAGACAATATCTGCGCCGCCTCGGCTAGATATCGTTTTCTTATGCATTGTTTTGCCGATCGGCGCGGGCCCTCGCCCCCCCCTCCCCCCCCACCTGGAGTAGATCTTGTCTGCTCTTGGCGCCTGTCTCAGGCAGGTGGAGTCTCCCCCCCCATACGGCGCACTGTCGCAAACAGTCGCGCCGAGCACAGGTCCGGAGCCAGACCCCTCCCCCTCCCGCCCAAGGTCGAGATGCCGACTAAGAAAACGTTCACCTGCGCCCACGCGATCCGAGGCTATCCGGCCTCGTGCGCCCTGCCCAGAGGGCACGGGCCACTCGCTGCCCAGCACGGGCTCTCCGCTCCGCTCTCCGCTTCCCTCTCCGCTCCGCTTCTCCCACCAGTGCATGGCTGGACCAAAACTGTGTTTTGTCTAGTTATCTCGTAGGCAGTTTTGTTTTTCGTTTGGTTTTGCATTCAAGGCGAAGCGAAGGCAAAACGAGGAGGAACGAACAACAAAACGATAACAAAAACACTGTTTAGGTACAGCCCTGTTCCAGTGTGGGCTCGAGCACACGTGTGGGGGGCGCCGTCTCCGCGCCTGCGTGGCCGGGGCTGGTGTCGATGCGGCGGGCGGTGGTGAATCGGCATGTGCACCCACCAGGAAGCTCCTGGAGGCTCCAAAAGGCTCCCAGGAGGCCACCCCAAGAGTCTCCCCAAGTCTCCCCCTCCTCTCTGCTCCCTCCTTCTCCTTGTTCTCCCCCCTTCCCTCCTGTTCTCCTCCTCGCTTCCCTCCCTCCCTCCCATCCTCCCTCTCTTCCTTCCCTCCTCCTCCTCCTCCTCCTCCTCCTCCTTCTCCTCCCCCCTGCTCCCTCCCTTCCCTCTCTCCCCCTTGCATCCTCACACCTCTCTCTCTCTCTCTTTCTCCCCCCGCCCGCCAGGGGGCATCGCAGCTGGCGCGGTGGTGGACTCCAAGGCCACGGGACCCCGCGAGCCCGCGCGGCCGAGCGGGGGCCAGGGCTTCGGACGCGCGTTGGAGGGTGGGGGGGGGCGGGGATGCCAGCGGGGAGGCGGGGAGGGCTGGGGCAGAGGACGGGGGGGAACGAGAAAGGTTCAGATCCCAACGGGATGATTCAGATCCCAACCGGACGGTTCAGATCCCAACCAGTAATGAAGCCGGATCGGTTTAGATCCCAGCCGAGCTTATTTCAGCTTCCAAGCGCTTCAAGCGCTTGGTAGGCGCTACATAGACGCTTCATAGGCGCTTCCCAGAAGGCACCTCCTAGCCTTTCTGAAGGAGGCCCGTGGTTTCCTTTTAACCTTCCTGAGGGATTCCTGAGGATCTCTCACGGATTTTTGGACTTCCCGAAAGAATTCCTGACGGATTCCTGCGGGTGTCCTGGGGGATTTCTTGGTTCTCCTGCAGGATTCGCGAGGGATCCTTGAAGGATTCATACGGATTCGTGCGGATTTCCGAAAAGGATTCCTGCGGATTCCAAGATTCGAAAGGTTTCCTGAGGACTCTCGAGGAAATCCAGAAGATTCCAGAGGGGTACCTCAAGATTCCTTGGGGATTGCTGAGGGATTCTTGCTGGAGTCCGAAGGGGGATTCCTGGGGGGAGTCCAGGAGGTTCCTGAAGGAAGCCTGGGAGATCCCTAAAGAAGTTCTGCAATATTCCTTAAGGATTCATTCAGATCCTTTCGGATTTCCTTTGGTTCCTGAGTATTCCAGAAGGATTGCAGAGGGATTGCTGAGGGTTTCTTGCGAGAGTCCTGAGGGATTCCTGAGGGCTCTCGGGGGATATCTGACGGTTCTTGAAGGAGTCGCGAGGGAGTCCAGAGGATTTTAAATGGATTCCTGTGGGAGTCCGGAGGATTCCTGCGGGATTCGAAAATTCTTCAGGATTCTACAAGATTCCACAGGACTCTAATTCCTGAATTATTTTTGCGGGAGTCTTGACCGAGTCCGAAGGATTCTCTTGGTTTCCTGAGGGCTCCTGGGGGAGTCTGAGGGATTCCTGAAAGGATTCGCGGGGCTTGCAGAGGACGCCTAAAGATTCTTGAGACTTTTGAAGATTCCCAGGGTCCTGGGGATTCGTCGGGGTTCGAAGGGATTCCGGAGGATTCCTATAGGATTCCTGCGGGTGTCCTGAGGGATTACAGAGGATTTCTCCAGGTTTTTGGAGAAGCCCTGAGGGCTTCGGGAGGAATTCCTGAAGGATTCTTGATATTTAATGTTTAGAATTCAGCAGGAACCTCGCTGGTGCCAGCCCGCTGCAGAGTTCTTCAAGATTTGAGAGTTTTCATTCGGAGTGCAATGGGAAATGTGCCAATCCCAGCCCCCCCGCAAAGTTCTAGCATATATTAGATCACACATCCGAAGTTGTGTTCGTGTGTTCTCTGCACATTTCCCGCGCAGAATATCTCCTGACCCTTCTCTTCCACGCCATGAAAATCATTTTCGCCATCGTCAGCAACAACCACACTTACCACACTCGTTCAGTCATTGACTGACTCAAGCACCATCATCATCATCATCATCATCATCATCATCATCATCATCATCATCATCATCATCCCCTCTTCATCACCATGTGTCACCGTCATCATCATCATCATCATAATCATCATCATCATCATCATCAGCATCATCATCATCATCATCATCATAATCACTCTCACCACCATCGTCAACATCGTCGTCACCGTGCACATCAACATCCTCGCCATCAGCACTCACACACTAACCGCACGCAGTCAATCACACACCCACACAATCGCTCATCTACCGTCATCCTCACCACGAGCCTCATCATTGTCGATGAACATCATCGCCTCTGTGAGTGAATTGCGAGGAAGTTTCAGGCGGGAGTCCGCTCCCTGTGAGGCCCGCAGCTCATGTTATTAATTCGAGCGGGTCGTCGGGATCCTGCAACTGTCGTTGCTTGTGGCCCTGTCAAGCTTGAGTCTGGAGAAAGTCTCGGGCGGGACCCTCGTCTGTAAGTGAATTGGAGGAACTCTCAGGCGGGACCCCCCTACCTGTGGGGCCCACAGTTCATGTTGTTAATCCGAGCGGATGATTGAAATCCTGCGGTTATCGTCAGTTTTTGGCTTCTTCAAGTTTGAATCTGGCGAAAGTTTGGAGCGGGAACCTCATTTGTAAGTGAATTGCGAGGAAGTCTCAGGCGGGCGCCCTTTCCTTCAGGGGCCCGCAGCTCATGTTTTTAATCCGAGCCGGTCATTGGCCGACGCGAGCTTGAGTATGGAGGGACTCTCATGCGGGAGCCTCGTCAGCGAATGGATTTTCAGGAAGTGTCATGTGGGAGTCCCCTTCCTATGGGGCTCCTGTTATTAATCCGAGCGGGTCATCGGGATGCTGTAGTTGTATTCGCGTTTGGGCCCCTGATGTTTGTTAGCGTGAGGGACGTCTGCAGCGGAGGCACGGTCTGTGAGTGAATGGCGGGGAAGTTTCGAGCGGGAACCAATCGGTTCGTGTGTGAAAGAACCGCGAGGGATTTTTGAGCTTCTCCCTAGGGGGGTTTGACGCGCACAGCTTGGGCGCCCACGTCTCCAAGAGGTCTCAGTGGCGGAGAGCGAAGGCCGACGGGCTGTGATGAGCATGTCGCAGCACTGAAGTGGCCGGCAAGTTGCTACAGCGGCTTCCCTGCGGAAGGCGTTCGGGGAGTTCGACAAAAGAGCGGGCAGCTCCAGGGCTGAAGCGGAACAGCTCGCGGCAGAGGTGGGCTTCGCATTGCCTGCCGCTTGAGCGCGGCTGCGACCAGGTTGAGACCAGCGGGGCTGTCCGAAGTGCTTGCTTCCGCGCCCCAGCGGTTCGTAGGGTTGTCCCAACGGCCTGGCCCGCAAGGTTGCCCCAGCGGCTTCGCGATCTTGACATCGGAGAATGCGCCCCCATTCCGACCGCAGTGGGAGCTGCGCCAAGGACAATCGACGTGCGCGGCCGCGCCAGCCTCGAGCCCTGCGGGCGTGCCCCGACGTCTTGGCCGGCGGGGTTGTCCCGACGGCCTGCCCGCGCGCCCTGGCGGCCGGCAGGGTTGCCCCGAAGGCGTGGCCCGCGGGATTGGCCCAAAGGCTTCGTGACCCAGCCGGCGAACGTGCGCGCGCAGGCCCAGGCGGGGACGGCGCCGAGGAACATCGATTTGCTTGCCCCGACAAGGGGAAAGGGGAAATGCACATGGAGAAGATGCAGCAGGAGGATGAGGAGGGGGAAGGAGGAGGGCCTATATCCCTCAGCCTTATAGCCCTACATCCCTATAGGTTTATATACTTAATTCGATAGCCCTGTAGCCCTACAGCCCTACAACATCCAGCCCTATAGCCCTATAGCCCTATACCCCCAAAACTTTATAACCCTATAGCCCTATTTCCCTATAGTCCCATCGCCCTATAGCTTTACAAAGATGATGTTTGGGATTTTTCTCCGGTATCGTATGGTTCGGTTAGCTGTGGCGCCGATTTCGGCGGCGCGCCCAGGTGCCCGCGTGCCCGGGTGCCCGGTAGCCCTATAGTTGTATAGCCCGATAGTCCTATAGCCTCATAGCTCTATAGCCCTATAGCTCCATAGCCCTATAGCCCCATAGCCTTATAACCTGATGTCCCCCGTAACCTTGATAGCCCTATAGCCCTACAGCCCTATAGCCCTATAGCCCACTAGCCCTATAGCCCTATAGCCTCATAGCCCTG